TTTTTAACCCAAATAATTTGCTAACAAGCTAATAAGAAACTGATTAAAACAGACGGCAAGATTAAATAGCATTGGCAAAGAATATTGAAGTTGGCAATGAATAAATTTCCGTGTTGAAAGCGTGACACCTCCTCTCAAGAAATGCCACAAAGGGGATGCATAGTGTGCAGGTATCTGATTTCAGAGCCGGGCACACAGAAATCCCCAAAATGAAGACTGTAAAGACTTGAGTAGATAAGCGTAATGTTAACAGCCTAACCTGAAGCCCTAAAGCTGTAACTCTGATGAGATCCTTAGGCAGGCACCATTTCACGTGAACGAAGGAAAACTTAATGGTTTAAATCAGATTGAGGACAGGATTTTTTTTTGCATTATATTTAACTTCATTGCAGCAGGTATTTCAGTAACTCTGAAAGAGTCTACAGAATGAATTAGTCTGCTCTTCATTACACAACAGAAAGGAACATTTTTTTTTCCTGTACAGAACTGATTCTGGTCCTTCAGGCAACTGGATTTTCTTCTGTTCTACTCAAAAACTGTAGGACAGACAACAATACAGTTTTTAATCTTCCTGCACATCTTGGAAACATTTTTAAATGATTTTCTGCCAATCCTCTTCTACTGAGAGCTTTCACATGGTTCACAGCTAATATTATCCTACATTTTAAAGAGGATGGATTACAGAGAATTATCCTCCTGGTTATATTACAAGTGGTGAAAGGAACCTTTTTATTTTCTCAGATACAGTTTTATTTCAGAGCAGTGGCCTGGAAACAACTGTTCCTTTACGGTCAGATTGTGCCTTTGGTCACACCACCATTTGAGTAACAAAGAGGAAGAGACACGTTTAAGGCATAATTTTCCCTGTTTCCCTTCACTTCAGAAGCAGTGAAAACTTTTTTATTTTTTCCTCCATAAAACAGCACTGATGCCATCATATGGTTCACTTTCTCCGGCTGTCTTTCCTGTCTTTTTTGACTGGAAGTTGATTTGGCCTGGCACTATAGTATGCTGTGTTTATACAGAGATTGGGTACAATGGGAGTCCATTTTTATCTGCCCCTATTTTAACTTTGTCAACAACAAAAATAAATAGCAGTAATTTGCTACTCCTGTCCCCCTCTATCTGCTTGTTATGCATCAAAGGTAAAGGAGGGAATCAGAGTTTCATTAGATCTTCATTTGTTCTTCCTCCTTCTCCAATCCATACTCTTGGCATGAAGGAGAGGAATAAAGATGTCAAATAGCTCCTCTCTTTCTTACACCTAAATCAGGTTCAGGTAAGTCACATGTGTAAGTGTGGGTTTTACTGCTCTGTGGAAATGTGTACTGTAGAGCACAATCTAATCTTTGGTCCTTGTTCCATTTGCTGGCAAGAAACAGCCTCTAAATGTTAAGATCATTATTAAATATTTAGCACAAGCGGTGGCCAAAGTAACTTTGGCCAGAAGGGAAAGTAACACTGTTTACATGCAGTAGAAGTACTTGGTGAGAAGGATTTCTGGAGAAGGTTGCACAAATGTCTCCTTCCAATTTCTGGCCAAAAGGCAAGAACGGCCTTCATGCTCTTGTTTTCAGGAAACAGAGAGAGGAGTATTGTACCGATACGTACAGCCCTCTGCTTTTCCTTTGCTTAAAAAGACATGTTACAGTATTTACCTTTGACAACTAGTTATTGTTTTGTCCTGCTTTCCTGACTGACTGCAGACACAGATGTTTCAGTGAAAATGATAACACTGGCGTATTACTGTTGACATTCTGGTTTCTTCAGACAAGGAAGGTGGAAAACATACCTTTGCTGAACTTCAAATAATAATAAAAATAACAATGAACTCAGCCTCCAAGCCACACGAACAACATTTTTTGACAGTGTGAATTATTTCAAGAAGCTGTTCCAGAGGTTACCTATTTCACCATGAACCTATATATCCTAACTATGCACAAAGGCCCCAGCTGTCTAGTAAGAAATAATAGATTTTTGCAATGAGACACGGGATATTACCCAACTAATACAGGATATTGCCTAATTTCTATAAAAGCAGTTATGGTATCAAAGGTGAAGAGACTAAGGAAGTAACTGAAGAGTGCTCTTCCAAACTTTGAAAAATAACACCCTTTTTTAAAGCCATACTTTACTAAGATCATTACACTGATAATCTGAAGCTGTTCCACAACTATTTGGTCCAATGTAATAAAATAAAGCCTTACAGTCTTCAGTCCTAAAAAACCAGACTGCTGCTCCTGTCAATAAATAGTCCTAGATAATCATCTCAGATAGATCTCTTCAAACTCGAAGTTGATTTCTGTAGAACTGCTTGGGTTTTATAATAGTGCAATGGAGTATATAATCTGGGTCTAGTTTCTTGTGTTGTTAATGTACCCACTTAAACCAAGCACTTATGTTTTCATACTACTGCTTCTCCCCTTGACTTGTCTTCCTCCCACAAAGAGAGGAGAATTTAAAATCCTTATAGCATTTCGTACAGGACGAAAGCACAAACTACTCTAGACTGCTTGTATGTAGCCACAATAGGCACCCATCACTGTTTGTGTTCAGTAACTAACAAACCCAGTGAAAATCAAGCCAAATATGCATTCAGAATATGGCGATTTCCAACAACTGTATAAACCAATGCTAATGTTAAAAGTCAAGAAAATAAATTTCCTGGTCCCTTGATAAAAATGACTGTTCTCCACAAAAAAAATTAGGTGGGGCAATTCCTGGAATGGAAACAGAAAATCTTCCATTCTGGAGTCTCAGGTGTACAACTTCATAAACATTTATAGTGGTCACAAGTACCTGTTTTATTATTGCTCAAGTATAATATTTGATTTGGACAATTTGAAATGGATTTATTATGGTCTCTTGTATAATATTTGATTTGGACAATTTGAAATGGATTTATTATAGGCGCACTTTGTGCATATAGCAGAAGGAAATGCAGCTCATCTGTCGAACAAACTGCCCTGCACTTTTTTGCAACATGGGGCAGAAGATGATGAACTGGCTCAGCCAATACACCTGTGTGTAACTGATCTCGGATACAACAAGCTATGCTGTCATTTTCTACCAGAAGAATTAATCTGCATAAGGAATTGATGCAAAATGAAACATTCACACGGTATTTAAAGTGTATTATAAGTCAATTTTTTTCTGCTACAGAATTTTTGCATCAGTAATTATTTCTTGGAGATCAGAGTCTAACTGAAAGCTGCTTAGATGCAAGAGACAGGGTAACACCGGCTTGCTCACCTCCAGGTGATGTTCTTCAACTGTGCCAGAATTCTGTTTGTGCAGCTGCCATGCTGCTTTTAAAGTAGGTGAAGAATGAAATCCCTTCATGACTGATTAAGTTTGTTGTTTTGCATCTCTGGGTCAAGTATATTTTCCTCTGGACTGATTTGGAGTTGAGAATTCTGGGATTTCTGTAGATTATCAATAGACTGTTCCCACATACCACCAAGACCGTTTGCGAAGTGATCCTTAATAAACAAGGAGACGGGAGACCCTGATAAACTCCCAAGCACAGTTCTTGACATAGTTCATGTCAATATTTCTTGATCACCACATGCTGGATCAGCCTTGAGGAAAAGCACTAAGCAGAGCTGTTTCATAACGAACAAGCTACTTCCTGCCTCAGGGGAACACTGCAATATCCTGAAGGTCCTACTGCCCATATAAAACATATCGTATATATTATGCCAGGTAACCAGGATGCAGAGGTGATTCCTCTGCGTTCCCTTTGCTTGATGAGTCTTCCTCATTCAAGTAATTCTCCTGCATTGCCAGGATCTGCCTGAAATCAACCTGCAAAGTCCCCATGAGTGGCTTCATACATGGGGTTTTTTGATGGACCAGTGCAAAATAGCAAACAGCAGAGACCAAGATCTGACCCACAACTCTTAAAGAAAGTACCTGAACAACACTAAGAATTAGACTGATGGTGTAAGTCCACAAGCTTTTTACACTTAGCTCTGCAATAGTTGCTCTAATACTTTTTATATCCTTTTCCGTAAAGCAGTTCTATTCCAGTAGTCTGGCATTCATGAATATAATGGTACAGTAACAAATTTCCTAGCCCTGAACAACACAGAAAAAAAGGAAAAAGAGTTTCAGGCTCGTAAGAGATTATGATAGATAAATAAGGCAAAATGACTCAAAGAACTCTGAACAAATCTTGACAGTTTCTTTAAAACCAATACAGTGCACAACAAATTGAATAAAAGATGCAAAGCTGAAGTCACCAAACATCAGGGTTGGTATCTGTTAAAGCTAGTCTTGCAGCCCAGGGTCTAAGGGATACTCCAAGCCACTCCTTGACAAGTGTAAACAACGGGACAGTGGAAAGTGAAGTAAATATGATGAATGGCTGCTGGAGGGCAGGAGAAATAGGTCCCAGCATTTGGGTCGCCTAGGAGCGCAAACTGTCACCCCATGAACAGCTGAGTTTTTTCAGACTGCATTATCACTTTGCTTGTGTTTCAGAATTTAGTATTTCATTGAGATACTACAGAACATACCCAAGAGTATCACATAATCTTCAGTTTTCAGATATGTAAAGCTATTTCATGAACAAGTTGCTATACACTCACTTCAAATTTACCTAAGTTGTTATTATTCACCATGGAAATATTTCCAGTGGTTAGTTCTCCCCATCTACAGCTATTAGTCAAGGTGACATAGGAAATGTTGAAACGGCAGATCTTGTTAGAACACTAATATTATTAAGAAAGAAGTTAATAATTCTGCAAGTTAACTTTATGACCAATTAATCATACAACGTGATGAGTGCTGGAGGCATTCTATTCCAGATGCATATCCTAATTTACCTGCACTAAAGCACACCTCAGCAAGATAGCTTTGTGGTTGAAATATAAAGCAATAAAATGCTGAGCTAAAAGAAACTAAAAGAAACTCTCTTTTGAACTACCAGGAATTCAGGCTATGAAGTAAAATCTTTTGCATTTAGCAGGTGTTATGCAATGCAGTGTCACCCTTACCTCCATGGGAAAGGCCTTAAAATTAACCGTGTGCTCAGAACCACGCTGGTTTTCTCTTCCCCAGTGAAATCGAACATCGTGTAGTTCAAACTCATGTCCTCGAGGTAATGGCCCCCCTATTAACACTGGGAAAGAAGACAAATGGTAAGGAACTTGGCTTTCCAAGCAGACAAGCCACTGAATATACTCTCCAAATACAATGGGGAAATTGTTGCAAGCTTCTTTGTTATCAGCAGTACTAAAGAGGAGACAAGTAAAGTTGACAGACTTGACATCTTTACTTTTGAAGTACTGTGCAAGTACAGAACATGAATTCAGGCAGTTATGAACAACAGTGAAATTGCTGTCATGCTGCACTCTTTGTTTTATGAGGCAGAACAGCTGGTCATAACACAAAATAAAAACATTGTACCTTTATCAGTCAGAAGAGTGAGTATGTTTATTGCTCTTATCAAGACAGTAGCTGTGTGCTCTGAACAGATGGCGGGGGTTCTGAATTGAACTGGTAACTACCTCCAACTTGTCCGAATGCTTAATCTCCATCACCTGTATTTGCTATGAGTCACAGAAACTGGTAGAAAACTTTTGATTGCCGATATTTTGCTAGGTGAAGGTGTTCAGCCATATACCACCTGTCAGGCTTCTGAGATACAGAATGCCTCCATATCCAAATATAATCATATTATATTGTATATCGTGTATAAAGCTACACGCGGAAGCAACAACGTACCTCATTTACTTAAAAACAGCTTCTAGGCAGCCATGACTTTTTTTAACTTTGGTTTTTTAAACATCCGGAATTTCATAAAAGCATCTATCCACAATTGCAACATATACAAAAAAAAAATTATATAATAGCTCAATACTTTTGCATTAATAGAGACTTCCACCATAAGTAGTAAAAGCAAGCAATTGTACCTTGTGAGGCCCAGTCTACTTTGGAATTAATCAGTGGAAACATTTTGCCCAGGGATTTGTGAATCTGCTTCAGAACAAATATTACTCCACAAGCTGTAGGTAACTTCCCATTGAAATCATTGAATATTGGCTTCTAGGCAGGGCTGGATTTTACTTAAGGGCATTCACAGTCTTCCCCAGAATCCATTAAATGCGAACTTACGTTTCATAGACTTTGAATGAATCTTTTACAATCTCTGATAATTGATAAGGATTATTTAATTGCATAACCTACAGCTTCAGGGAATTAAAGTTCCCTTATAAAAAGTTATTTTGACCCACAGACTAAAAGGCCTTAGTTTGGCGCACAAGGCATAGCATAATACTAAAACATAATTTAGCAATTGAATCACATTGCAACTGTACAAACACAAAAACAAAAGTACAGAACTATAAAAAACCTGAAAGAAAACTGATCAGTTATGGTTTTCATAAGCAATTACATTGGAGAAAAAGTAATTTAGCAATTGAATCACATTGCAACTGTACAAACACAAAAACAAAAGTACAGAACTATAAAAAACCAAGAAGAAAACTGATCAGTTATGGTTTTCATAAATTACATTGGAGAAAAAGTAAAATATTCCAATTAATCCTCCTTTAATAGTTCTTCATAACTGATCTAACAGCCATTAGGGTTTCTAAAATGAAATGTCCTAAACGCAGTTATAGATTCAGATTTGTTTCTTAAACCTGCTTTATCTGTATTCTATCTATAAATATATCCTATAGGGAAAATCTACAAATCTGGTGAACATTGGGTGAAACAATCAATTGAAGTATTTAGGGAAATCTGGACAAATAAAAAGAAACATGATACTCAATTAGTGCTATTTCATAGGAAAATGGAGCATTTTCTCTGTTTTAAAATATTGCTCCTAGAGAAAGCGTAACTAGAACAAATGCTCTCTATATGATGTAGTTCTGGATCTCCAGGAGCTTCAAAGAGTTTATTTCTGAGGCTTAAGTTATAACATTGATCCCATGATAAAAGTATTTCAATGCATGAAGCATGTTTATCTTTCCTTTGCCTTTCATCAAATCCTGATCCTTGTCAATGCATGAAACATGTTTAACTTCGCTTTGCCTTTCAGCAATTTTTGATCCTCATTAGAAAATGATTCGGAAACCATCACCCACTGTGCAATCCACTGCTGGCTTAAGAGAAGTCTCTCTGTTAGCAGGACATCCTCTAAAGCTTTTTTCAATATACAGTTCCATTACACAGTTGGTCATGCTTCTTCCACCTAATGCATAACACATGTACGATGATCAAACTGGAAGCAGCCTGTGAAAATGTTTGCAATTAATAATGAGAAGGATTTGGGAATTCCAGATGGACTGCGTGTCCTGAATTAAAGGATAAAATCAATCACCAGTAATGACAAATTGATTTTTAATATGTATCTTAATCAGTTTACTTTTTCCCCACAAAGAAGTTTTTCTTTGACTGTTAACATTACAGTAGATGAGGATCTCTTGCACATTAATTGGACAGAGTTTCAAGAGCATTTAGTGCTCAACAGTTCCCATTAAAATAATCTGGCTAAATGGATTTGTCGTCAGAGATCCCCTGTGAGGAAAAGAAGCTGCAGGAGTTTCCGCAATCCCTGAAAATTGGCCAGAATACTAGGTCAAACACAGCTTATTAACTCTTTTCTTCTCTTGGTAGGGATGACGAATGTTGCCTTCCCCCTCCCAAAAACGGAAATATTATCCCCAGTTTACAAATGGAGAATGGGAAATTATGTAACATGAAATCTAAGGAAAAGCTGAGACTAAAACAAGATTTCCTAAATCATAATTCCATACCTCAGCCATAAACTTTTATTCTATATCACATTTTCTTACATTTCAAGACTCATCAGTCTGGCAGCACACTGCATCCAAGTTTAAAAAGAAGTCTTTCCTTCCCCTAAGCCTCCAATGATTTTGCACATACATTTAGGTGTGTTGGTCCCATCTTATTAATTATTGCTACTAAGTTACAAACTGCCCTTGGGAAAGGTGGGGTTGAAGGAGTTGCATTTTGGCATGCAAGTGATGACGTCGTTTGCGGTCACTCTCACTTCCTCCACAGGAGATTTCAAGAACCTTCCTGATACTGCAGAGAGAACCTTACTCCTTCGGAAAAGAGCTCTGCTTCTAACGAAGGCAGTAAAACTGACTAGCAGTACAAAATTTCTGTTCTACTGCAAATCTGCAAAATTCTGTGGAAATAAATATTCTGTGTTGCAATAATACACGGAATTTATCATGGAAAGGAAATTATAAAGGAAAGCATCATTATTAAAATAACAAACCCTTCCTTTTTAAAATATTCAGTGTAAAACTGGACTGACTCCCTCACTCTCAGCACAGCTGTAGCTCCCAGGACTACTGGGATCTCAGAAGGAAACAAAAGTTGGAATGTCTCATGGTTTGACAGTGTTCAGCTGTTTAAATGCCCCCAAAAGGCTGTTACTAGCTAAGATTGGTTAGAATAACTTCGATGCTCTTCCAAACACATGGTAAGAACTACCATAGTGCTGGAAAGCACAATGGACTTTTTTCTCCTTACTTTCTTGGCAGTTGCCTCCTTCATACAGAATAGTTTACCCAGCTGAAAGGTCTGAATGAGATACTGCAATTTCACTTAAGTTGGAATTGTTTCTTTTATTATTTGCTTCTAATTCTCACTTGACGAATGACACCAAAAAACCCTTTAAGAAATGAGGACTGCTTTGCTACTTGCTCTTCATCAATATTGTAAGCATGTATAACTGGAGTGTCTATTTTAAGCTGCCCAATTCTGTAGTTAGTATTCAGAACCCACTCAAATTAATGGAAAAAGCTCTTTTAACTTACATGGTCTTCGGACCAAGGACAAATTTTGCCAGCTGTACGAAATAGTTTGGCATCACACTGTCTTAGCGATAGTCTGGACTGCTTCTGAATGCAGACAGCTGTTAATGCCAGTGAATTAGATGACACCACCACAAGAGGAAATTCTGGACATGCTCTGAAGCGATCTGACTGACCATCCAGTTTGGCGTTGAAACTTGCAGCTCCCATTGCAAAGCTTGCTCCTTTTCCTACTGAAGTCAACAGCAGCACTCTTACCGGCCGCAGTCCATGCCGAATAAGCACAACCGCTCGCTGCTGGGAGCAGTTGCTGTTCCTATGCTCCGGGATACACGTACAGCGAGACTTAAGGCAACACAAGCTTTAGCGGGGAAAGCAAAGGCCGTGTTTCAGCATACCTGATTTTGACTTCAGGGCAATCTGAATTGAATGCCCGTCGTTGATCACTTCACAGTCACGACACACTACGTAGTTTGGCGACAAACGCACTTCCAGGAGCGAGGGGTCATATTTAGCTTCTCTCGAGTTCAAGTTAATAGGCGACTGGTACTCCCCGTTAGCATCAGGAAAAATCAGCCCCCACTCCACCCCTGTGACACAAGGGAAA